AACACTGCATAAGTTAGTTAATAAAAATACAACTTTTCATTGTGTTCTCCTTGGCTCAGGTCCATTAGGCTGATATAATCGGAAACAAGGTTTGATTTTAATATCTAAATGTTGAAATGAACATTAACTAAGATTAATAAATGCTTCAGAAGTAATTTTCACAATATTAACTAATGTTAACAAATGGAACCTTACTGTAAAGTTACATGGAATTCACACTGTCTATTCAATTAGTAATAGGGAAACTGTAAAATATACTAGTAACTCCTTGAATAGCAAATTTCAATAGCTAAAGAAGGACTAGTACTTATAGAAGTACTAGTATCTAATGAGTCACTATCGGATCACTTATTGGTACGGGCCGGCGTTTCCCTACGAGGAGTATGAACTATTTCAGTCCAAAATCTTGGAGTGCCTGCACACCTGCAAGGAGTGTCTGCATATGTTACAGTTATACAAGGAGAAGCCATGGTGCATCAGATGCCCCCGTGCCACACATACCAGACTATCGGATACAGAACCTGCCCTACGGCATCCACCGCAACCGGATACATGTGCGCCATCTTCTCCTGTCTGTCCATTCTTGTGCTGCTCTTCATGGGCCTCATATTCTTGCATGGCCACCTGAGGTTTTTCTGCTAGGACACCTGTGTGAGCTTGAGAAGTACTGACTTCATAAATCCACTGAAAATCACCAAAACATCAGTTGTTTAAACATTGTTGCAAAAAAAAATTCTGGGGAAAACCCACAGCTGCCATTTGGTTTGATATTTAGTTGCTAATGCAATGATATTCAGACTTTGGTTGTGGAGCCACTATAGTGGGGTCCCAAAGTCCAAAAATGAGACCACAAGTGAAAATGCATATATTTTGTATTGTTTTATAATTTAATCCAACTTTATTATTAATTAATTTTACATTAATGCATTTGGCAGACGCTTTTATCCTAAACAATTTACATTGCATTTAAGGTATACATTTTATTAGTTCATCCATTCCCTAGGAATCGAACCATGACTTTTACCATGACATGAAGTTTAATTGAAAAACTGGTCAATATCACAAATTTTCATACTGACTTAGAATTAGAAGGCTACTTCTTTTCTATTTTATGTCATAACCTTCTTTTTTTAATCCAAATAATTCTGTTTATATCCAGGTTTAAATAATAAAATGTGGTCTCAGACTTTTGGACCCCACTGTAGGTCTACATAAATACAGTTTTATCATAGCAAATGAACCGTGCACTTATTTGACATTTAAAATTAATACTTAAAATTCACTAATAAAGTCTGGTAGCTAGGTAAAACACTTATTTGAATCAGCCGAGCAAACGCAATTTATCGGATGATATTCTCAAAATGGCTGCTGGGTGTTGTTATCCTCTCCTTTATCATATAGACGACTATTCAAAAAAGACCTCTTTGTTTTTATGGATCAATAGCTTTACTATGGAAACTGCAAATTTTATACCACCTATTTGTTCTCCACTTCACCTATGCATCTATCACGGTAAAACCGTGTCGTTTGACATCTAAGTGACAATCTCTTTTTGCTATCGTCTGTGTGTGCTTTTAATGTGCATAGCATCACAATGCATTGACCTTAGTTAGTACTTTACCAACTCGTTCATTGGATTTTTGTATCACGCAAACCTGTGATGAGCAGTCCCTGATGTACCTAGTTTAGAAGAAAACCTGCATGATGTTAAACAAACACTAGATACTGAACTGTGCTTGGAAACCAAGGTCAGCCTTCTCTGCTTGACGAAAGCTTCCTTGTTAATCGAATCAGTAGGCCTACTGCTGATTTCTACATTAAGCAATGGCAAATCAGTCATTTATAAAGGGTATTTGATATGATGATGTTTCATGTAAAAAGTGTTGGTGGAAATCTATACAAATCGTACTCAAACAGATCTATGTTAAGGCGCTGTCACATTTACCTTTGCTCAACGAAATTTCGCGGGAGAATTCCAATCATTCAAATAGGAATCCCCGCGAACGGGGGAGATTCGCGTGAAAAAAAAAGTTGGCTGCTGCTTGCTATGAAAGTTACGGAAGTCCTAAGAGGTGATGGATTATTAATTTTTTTTCTTTCTTGTTTTGTCGTGATAACGACTTAATTATCTCGTGATCTCGACATAACGAAAGTTGTTTTCTCATTATCACGACTTAATATTTTCTCACGATCTCGACATAACGAAAGTTGTTTTCTCGGTATTACAACTTAATTTTCACGTGATCCCAACATAACGAAAGTTGTTTTCTCGTATCTCGTGATCTCGACATAATGGAAGTTGTTTTCTCGTGATCTATCACGACTTAATTTTCTCGTGATCTCGACATAACGAAAGTTGTTTTCTCGTTATTACGACTTAATTTTCACGTGATCTCGACATAACGAAAGTTGTTTTCTCATTATCACAACTTAATTTTCTCGTGATCTCGACATAACGAAAGTTGTTCTCTCGTTATCACGACTTAATTTTCTCGTGATCTCGACATAACGAAAGTTGTTCTCTAAGTTACGCAACTGCGCCAACAGGTGGCACTATAGACCTGAATATAACTGATGGGGTGTTGTAGTGTATATCCACTTTACTGTACACGTTTGGGACAGAATAAGGACCTTCTTCGTGATCACTATAATTTGTGCAGTATTGTTCATTACTGACATTTAATGAATTCATAAATGTTAAATGCTTGAATCAATATGAATATTTTGTCTATCGTTAAGTTCTTGCTAGATGCGTGACTCATCAGTTTCACCACCGCATAGCGTTCCGTGTGATAAACGAACTGCTTATTAAAACCAGTGTTGACGTCACTGTATTCTGTTTGCACCTATATCTTTATTTGTGCGTCTTTGAAGTAGGCCTACATGATTGTTAGTTAATAAGCGGGGATGTTGTGTTTATCTAGGACGCGCTTCAACGACGAAATGGCTCAAGTCGTGATAACGAGAAAACAACTTTCGTTATGTCGAGATTACGAGAAAACAACTTTCGTTACGTCGAGATCACAAGAAAACAACTTTCGTTATGTCGAGATCATGAGAAAATTACTCATCATGATAACGAGAAAACTACTTTTGTCATGTCAAGATCACGAAAAAATTAAGTCATGATAACGAGAAAACAACTTTCGTTATGTCGTGACCACGAGAAAATTGTTGGCACAGTTTTCTAACTTAGAGAACAACTTTTGTTATGTCGAGATCACGAGATAATTAAGTTGTGATCACGAGAAAACAACTTTCGTTATGTCGATATAACAAGATAATGAAGTCGTGATCACGAGAAAACTACTTTCGTCATGTCGAGATCACGAGAAAATATTAAGTCGTGATAACGAGAAAACTACTTTCGTCATGTCGATATCACGAGAAAATTAAGTCATGATAACGAGAAACTACTTTCGTCATGTCAACATCATGAGAAAATATTAAGTCGTGATAACGAGAAAACAACTTTCGTCACGTCGTGACCACGAGAAAATTACTCGTCATGATAACGAGAAAACAACTTTCGTCACGTCGTGACCACGAGAAAATTACTCGTCATGATAACGAGAAAACAACTTTCGTCACGTCGTGACCACGAGAAAATTACTCGTCATGATAACGAGAAAACAACTTTCGTCACGTCGTGACCACGAGAAAATTACTCGTCATGATAACGAGAAAACAACTTTCGTCACGTCGTGACCACGAGAAAATTACTCGTCATGATAACGAGAAAACAACTTTCGTCACGTCGTGACCACGAGAAAATTACTCGTCATGATAACGAGAAAACAACTTTCGTCACGTCGTGACCACGAGAAAATTACTCGTCATGATAACGAGAAAACAACTTTCGTCACGTCGTGACCACGAGAAAATTACTCGTCATGATAACGAGAAAACAACTTTCGTCACGTCGTGACCACGAGAAAATTACTCGTCATGATAACGAGAAAACAACTTTCGTCACGTCGTGACCACGAGAAAATTACTCGTCATGATAACGAGAAAACAACTTTCGTCACGTCGTGACCACGAGAAAATTACTCGTCATGATAACGAGAAAACAACTTTCGTCACGTCGTGACCACGAGAAAATTACTCGTCATGATAACGAGAAAACAACTTTCGTCACGTCGTGACCACGAGAAAATTACTCGTCATGATAACGAGAAAACAACTTTCGTCACGTCGTGACCACGAGAAAATTACTCGTCATGATAACGAGAAAACAACTTTCGTCACGTCGTGACCACGAGAAAATTACTCGTCATGATAACGAGAAAACAACTTTCGTCACGTCGTGACCACGAGAAAATTACTCGTCATGATAACGAGAAAACAACTTTCGTCACGTCGTGACCACGAGAAAATTACTCGTCATGATAACGAGAAAACAACTTTCGTCACGTCGTGACCACGAGAAAATTACTCGTCATGATAACGAGAAAACAACTTTCGTCACGTCGTGACCACGAGAAAATTACTCGTCATGATAACGAGAAAACAACTTTCGTCACGTCGTGACCACGAGAAAATTACTCGTCATG